GCGTGCTGGCTAGCCACAAGAATTGTATAAACAGATAAAAGGCCAAGGCACAGGATCCTGTGCAAGACGCTGTAAGAAGGTGTTAGCATGGCACCCAGAGAAGGCTGGGTGACACTTGGCCTTACTCCATAGGTAGCCATGAGGGAAAGCACCAGTGAGGCTGAGCTGGCATGGCAGGGCTGGACTCACAGGTGAGCCACCTGAGACACCTGCACAACTCCAAGTTCCAGAGGGCCTGCTGTCACCATGCCCTGCCACTTTGGGTCACAATACAATAGCCCTCTACAAAGCCCGCCAGGCGGAGAGGACTGCCTGCAGCGGTCCACAACTGTCAACTTCTGCTTGTCCCCCAGATGACTGCAGATCTCACTACAGGCAACCCTGGCTCTTGAGACTTCTTTTTGTGTCTTTTAGACAAAACAAAGACCAAAAATATTTTTGAAACAGAGTCAAAACCATTTGCCATCCTTCCAAATGTGCTATTCGTATTCATCAAGACACTGGCCAAGCAGATGATGTGGTGCAAAGTGGGGCTAGATGGGAAGGTGTGATTAATGTGGGGAATGGGAGTTTCCAAAAAAATGAAAGGCTCTAAGATACTGTCCCACATGCAGAGGGCAGGGGAGAAGCACCACAGGATGGCTGGGGGCAGGCGAAGAGCGGAACCAGGAGAGTCAAGCAAGGGATAGTCCCCTTAACCAGCATTCAGCCAGTGCTTTTACTCAGTTTCCACGCTCATTGGGGAAATCAAGCACAGAGCCTATCCTGGTGGGGCTTCCATTCCAGCAGGAGGATATGTGAAATAATCAGTAAATGTAACAAGCAAGTGACTAGGGCCACACAGACTACATTATGATACAGGGAAAGAGCAGTTTGTGTCCCACTGAGGATGGGCTTTCCATTTCAAAACAAACTGTTCAGGAGAGGCCTCGCTGAGAAGTGGAAACTGAAGCACTGTTTGGAGTGTTAGGTAGGAAGTTGACAAGCAGCCTGCGCATGTGCAAGCATCAACAGAGGCTCTGACGGGAAGCAGAGCCCCGGGATGCAGAATCCTGCCCAGATCCTGTTAGCTTTGCAGGTGGTCTCAGCCTTTCCTCCAAGGAAAGCTCCCTAGAATCTTCTCAGTTCTGTACCAAACTGGTTACCCAGCCTGGGAACACTGGGCAATAAAACTGGGGAAGTTCTTCTGCCTGGAGCCCCGTGGGCTGCCCAGTCTGAGGGCACTGAGTGCTGAAACCTTGGGAGGCATTTGACCTGATTCACACTGAGTAAGTCATTCACACTCAGCAAACCCTCTGCCCAGGAGAAGGTGGGGGGGGAGGGGAGAAACAGCAGAAGAACTGGCTCCATTCCCTAAAAGCCTCAGTGTGAGTATAGGCTGCCTGCTCAACTCCCAACTCCCTCCCGAGCTGCCCACCTGGCCTGCAGGCGCATTCTCTCCACTAAACCATATCACCGTGCTTTCCCCTGGCTGAATGAGTGGGCACTCAGATTCTGTCTAAAGAGCTGCCCATCCATGCCGTTGGATGTCCCAGCCCATTAAACCTAGCTACCTTGGTTACCACTCCTCTCTGTCTCACGCCTGAATTTATTCTAGTGTGAAAACACAAACCTGGTTTACTCATTTCTGTTAATGAAACGACTTAAGGAGGTGGAGAGTTGGTTACTTGGGTATCTAAGCGGGAAGGACTGGCTGTGCAAAGACCTTGAAGCAGGAGAATATTTAGCACATTCAATGGGAAGAGGTCAAAATGGCAGAGATGTAGCAAACCAGAAGGAAGGCAGGAGGAAGTGAGGTTCAGAGATAATGGGCCCCAGATGAATCAGACTTGCAAGCCATTACAAGGCTTCTAGAAGTTACAGTTTCTCAGATTTGACACTGTAGACATTTTTGATCACACCACTCTTGGTTGTAGGGGCTGTCCTGTGCATTGTAGGCTCTTGGCAGCACCTCAACTGGCCAGCACTAACAGATGCCTGCAGTATCTGGTATGAGAGGTGTGAAAACAAAAAATATTTTCAGACATTGCCACAGTCCTCTGGTTGCCCCAGGTTAAGAACCACTGCTCCAAGTGAAATGGGGATATATAGAGATTTTTTTTTTTTACAAAAAATCAACAATCTGATTTACACTTTTTAAAAATTATTCTGTCTGCTCTTATTAAAAATTGTCTTGGGGTGGAAGACAGGGATGGGGAAGACTATTTAGAACATTCCAAAGATCTATACTGGGGGTGTCACAGTAGAGGTGGTAGAAACAGTTGGGTTTTGTATACATCATGTAAAATGTAAACGAAAAGAGTTAAACATCAGTGGAAGATTCTTGACCTTAACAACTGGAAGGACAGAGCGGCTATGATGAGGTAAGGAAAACAGTAGTAGAACAGAAATTGGTGTCTCAGACTACTGGACATGCAGAGTGTGGAATGCAATTCCAGTAATTCAGCTTGATATAACAAAGTGCTCACCCAGGCACTGATGGGAGAGATGAACAAGATACTTTATGTTCAACAGACAGTTATATTGATTTTTTGAAAAAAAAGTTAAAGGGGAGTAGAAGGTATGTCTATGATTTTTATGGCTGGAGTGATGTTGGCGTCACTGCAACAGTGAAGGCAGAACCTGGCATGAGGAACAGGGAAGGGAAAGATGGTCGCATGGGATTTGCCAATGGGGCAGTTGAGAGTAAGGCCCAAGTGGGACTTGGCAATGCAGTACTCAACCGCAGTTAGAGACAGAAGGAAAAACCTCTCCCGCAAGGAGTACAGGTGTATTGAGGGAGACCGACAAAAAGGGACAAGTAAGAATGCCAGCAGACTGAGAAAGAATGAAAGGCAATCAAGGAAGAAAGAGAGCGTGCAAGGTCAGAAGCGATCTGAAACTGGGACTCAAATGAGCTCATGCTAGACTACAATATCCATAGCAATACACAATGCTTGGTGGTATTTTAAAAAATATATTTTTATACCAGCATATTAATTATTTTCATTTTTTTAAAGAAAGGGAGAGGGATGGAGAGAAGGAGGGAGGGGGAAGGGAAGAGAGAGAGCTCTGTCCACTGGTTCACGCCCCAGATGCCTGCAATGGTGAGGTCTGAGCCAGGGTGAAACCAGGAACCTTCAACTGCATGGGGTCTTCCATGTGAATGGCAGAGACTAAAGGACTGGAGCGCCGCCTGCTGCCTACCAGGGCGCACACGAGTCGCCGGCTGGAATCAGAAGCAGCAGCAGAACTTGAACATAGGTACAACAGGACACAGGAATGCAGCAGCCTCAAGTGGCATCGTCACCGTTGTCCCCCACATGTTTTATGTTTATGCCTAAGGCCGACTCCCTGTTCAATTAGAACCAATAATTTATTGAGAGTTAATTATTTAAACTTACTTGACTCACTCAACTTTTTCATGGAAAAAAAAAGAGTATCTGTATTTAATTTTGTCCACAAAGACAGCCTGTGGAGCAACGGGGAGATAATTTGCTGTTCTTCATTCCTTTTGAATCACATTATTTATACACATCCATAAATTTTACTAACATTCTCCTTATCTGCGACGTCATGGACTTCAAATATGTGGGAAGACTCTGAAAGCCCTTAGAGCTCCACTGCTAGCATCTCCTATCAGAGTGCTTGGGATCAAGTCCTACCTGCACTTCCTAAGGAGCCTCTGGGGGGCCGCAGCTGATGGGGGTCCTGGCCGTGGCTGACCCATTCCTGGCTGTGGCTCTTGCTGTCCCCCTGTCTATCTCTCTTTCCCTGCTTCCCTTCCAAATAAATAAAACTTTACATTGTATTTTTAAACAAGTAGTTTTGCCTACTAAAGCCATTTATATTATTACAAAAAAGATCACGAGAAAGTACTGTGATCAAAGGTTATAATTACATTAAAAACAATCCTCTGGTTCTCAACACATTGATCCTCTTTCTCCCCCTCCCGATTTCAAAAGCAAGCAAGCTTTTTGCAATTCCTTGAAATCTAAATTAGAGATTATGTTGCCATATCTTGGCTGACAAAGTTCAGCCTCCTCCTCTCACCCACTTCTTCCCTGGGAGCAGGATCCACATCCCAAATGGTCAAATGTTTCCAATTCCATGTGGAAGCATTAGTCTGTAGGGTAGACAAAGCGGCCAGGCTGCCACAAGATGAAATGCATTGGCCTTTTGTTCAGGTTTCTGAACTACCCCTGCTCACTGACTCACGATTCCCTCACTCTTGACTCCAGCACAGCCTTGAACAGTGACAATCCTCTGCCTGGCTGCAGGTAGCCCAGGCAGCTGTGGCAGGTGCACAGAGCGATGGCCCGGTTGCTTTTGGCTTTCCAGTGAATTTTGGCCATATTACTGTTTGGAAAGTATATGAGTAAAGGAGGAAAGTTGTAACAAGTGGAAAGGTTTTCCATTTCCAACAAACCCAAGAGCAGTGGGCACTCTGGGGGATGGCCAGGGAGAGGATGAGTTTGGTACACTTTCACTGGAGACACAGGACAGCTGCTCTTCACATTCCAGGCCAGATGATTTGGTAAAGGAAGAAGGGGAAGCAGACAACAATGTGATTTTCAGAGGCTGAGAGCGAGTTCTATCTAAACGAAGCTGTACACATTAACTGCACACTTAGCAAAGTTTCCCAGTGATAAAACGCGGGAGGAGAGGACATTGATACTCATTAACAAGTCTCCGGCAGCCCCGGGGCAGAAACATTTAAGAACAAACTCCACAAAGAATGCCAGCCACCCAAAGTGCGTGGGTTTGGGAGGTTCCTGTTGTCTAGCTCTAGGGCGGGGCACAAAGCAGAAGGCAGTGCCCAGCGGGGTGGGCTCAGATTTTTCCCCAGGGCATCGCTGCAAAGCTTCTCCGCTGGCCCGGGGGTGGCTGGGTATCTGCTCACAGACCCCAGCAAGGAGTCCGGGCGAGGATAAGCAAGAAAGCCAGTGCAGGTGGGGGTGCGTCCCGGAGAATGGCGCTTTAGTTACTGGAACTGCAGCCTCTTGACTCAGAGCCCTTACCACATTTGCAGCTATTGCACAGCTCGCTCCACTTCGTGCAGTTAATAAGATCAGCATCTCTTTCAAGCAACCGGCCTCCTGCCCCCCACAAATTCTTGAGGCCAGCCCTTCTTTCACCAAACGCAAAGAACCCTAAAGAAAGTGTGATCAAGTGGTGAGTCCCACAATGGAAAGAGTGCTGGGGCGGGGCGCCGGCCCATTAGGACCCACCACCCCTTCAAGAACTCCTGCAGAACATCCAGCCAGCGCTCTCGGGACGAACAGCTGTCCCAGCTCCCGGACCTGGCGCGGCACAACAGGGCGTCCTGAGGAGGGGTCAGGGCTGAGTTGGCCCGCCCCCGCTGACGCCCTCTCTCCACCGGGTCTCAGGTCCTTACCTGACAGTTTCCCAAGATCACGAAAGTCGACGCTCTTTCTCCCCTAGGACCCGTGGCACGAGAACCCTGCCACCAAAGCCACGCCCTACAGCTTGGGCCACGCCCTTTCCCTGGAGACCACGCCCCTCCAGGCGGATCCTCGCTGGTACTTCCCCAAGAACGGCTCTGGCCACGCCCCCACCAAGCCGCAGGAACCTGCGCCCTACGCGGTGGCCACACCCCCATATGACCACGGCCCGCGACGTGTGCTAGCCACGCCCCCGAGACTCACCCGGGTCTGTCTGCAGCGCCGGATCACGCCTGCAAGTTCTTCCCTGACCCCGTCCATCTTCCCGCCTCCGTGGCAGCCCCCTGGCCCACCGCTGGCCAGGTTTGCAGGGTGAAATTAGGCTGCGGGCCAAACCGCCTTGTCCAGGAAGTGACTTCCCTCAGTTTGCATGGCTTGATGAAGACTCAAACAGGGCAACAAACAGCAGGTACTGTTCTTATCCACTAGTTTTCATGTCCAATTTATTTTTGAGTTCCTAACAGGCCGTTCTCACATCCTCTGAACTCAAACTTAATCTGTGTGCCTTCTAGCCAGTTTCCATATCCTCTAAGCCAGAGCAGGGAAATCGTGTTCCTTTAGGTTCCTGAAACCCACCCCTCCCCGCTTCACCCCTTCCTGAAGTCTCCTCAAGATGACCCGTACTAGGTTCCAAGCCCCTCCCGCTGTGCAGATCAACGCCCTGAGATTCCAACTCCGGCCCAGCCCTGAGCTCTGAACTGCCCTGCCTTCCTGGACCCCCACTTACAGCTCTGGGTGCACAAGAATAACAGCCAACATCATAGCCAGTTTATTCCTCTGTAGTCAAACCTTGGGCTCCTTCATTCCAATTACATTTGCCAGTACCTCCACCCCTGAGAGAGAGAGAGAGGGAGGGAGAGAGAGAGAGAGAGAGAGACTTCTCAGAAAGCTCCCCTCTGAAGCTTAGATGCCACAAGAAATGAGGAGCTTGGGGAAGATGTGGCAAGAGGCTGATACAAAAGAACTTGGCAATCAGGGTTTCTTGATCCCAATTCTAGGAATATTTGGGATAGCAAACCATAGGAAGGCATTTTGATAGTACTGGTACATTTCTCTACAAAGTAAATTCTCAGTAAATCTTCATTGAGCATCTATCCTTTCCGTGTATATAGAAACATACAGTTTTACCTTGGTAGTAGTAGGAGTCCCTACTTCTATTTCTTCGCGTGCTCAGGTAATGTTCTTATGATCACACATCAGTTCCTTTTTCTCTTCCCATCCTCCATTCTGATTCTGGTTTGAAGCAGTTGAGCATATTCAACACATTGCATACAAGAAACAGAGAAATTAGTAAGCTTTCTTTTTTCTAATTTTATTTATTTATTGGAAAGTCAGACTTTACAGAGAGGAGGAGAAACAGAGAAAGACCTTCCATCTGCTGGTTCACTCCCCAAGTGAGTGCAATGGCCAGAGCTAAGCTGATCCAAAACCAGGAGCCAGGAGCCTCTTCCGGGTCCCCCCGCGGGTGCAGGGTCCCAAGGCTTTGGCTGTCTTCAACTGCTTTCCCAGATCACAAGCAGGGAGCTGGAAGGGATGCAGAGCAGCCAGAACAAGAACCAGCGGCCATACGGGATCCCAGTATGCAATGCAAGAACTTTAGCCAATAGGCTACCGCACCCGACCCAATACAACAGTTTTCTTAAGCTCACTCTGACCCTGAATCATTTTTGACTTGAAAAATCAACTCACAGAAATTGGTTCACATTAGAGGTGAGTTGTACACAAGTAATTCTACCTGATCTTATTCCACACATAATTTGAAGCATCTTGTGAAAATAACAGACATCATTAGATGAAAGAAACAGTTGAAGTACTAGGGAAAGAAGACTCTAACAAAAGGGAAATAACGCAGTCAGTGATATTTTGTTGTTCCAATATGCATTCCATTGGCCCCAGAATGCTCATCAAAGGCAGGGCAGAAACTGGAGTCCAAGGTAGTCACTGACCACAGAAAGAAGGAAATAGCTATCATTTCAGGATTTCCATTGTCCATACACAAGAATCAATCAAGTATGTGGTTACAGAAGCAAAGCTTTGATTTTAGTATTCAGAAAAACACATTTTCCTCTTAAATATGATGTAGTGAGCTAAGTGGGAACTCGGTGTCATAGGGAGTTTAGCCCAGAGCTCCTCCCCCTACCCCAGGAAACTGTGCATCAAATCAGTTCTGTAACGCATCAAAACCTCTTTATTCACTTGATTGCACTGTCCTTCAATGGTCTTGCTAAAGTCGAGGTAGGTAGTATGTATATCATCTTTCCCTGTGACAAACAGGTTTCAAGTCACATGTGAACTTGAAACTCTGTGTAGTCTCAGGCTGAATAATTATGGCAGTAATGGCTTTGCCTAGGCTCACAGAGACGAAGTTCTCTGGATCAACTGGCAGTGTGGTGGGTGCAGGAAGGCGAAGCACCTGCATGAAAAGCATCTCTGGTCCCCTGCCCTGAGTGCACGACTTTCATGCAGTCACTGCAAAACAACACTGTCCACTGGAGTGCTTTTGTGAAGTACCACACAGTGCAGGGTGCCGGATCTGTTTCACTGTGCCATTCATCCTTGTCTTCCCTGATTCTGTTCTGTCACACATCCTCCTTTGTCAGTCCCCTTGCTTTGACCACTGCTTCTTCTTATCTTGGCATGGCTCAGTTTTTCCACATTGAACCTCAAAGTAAAGTAACAATTCCATCTCCATGCCCTGCTTCAGTTTCCTCATAGTATTTCTCACAGTTTGAAGTGCTCTATCTCAGTGTAGTTTCTTTGCTAATGAGTTGTTTACTGCAAGGTAAATTTCCCAGGAGCAAGGACTTCCATCAGTTTGGCTAACTTTGTTACCCTATAAGAACAGTTTGATGTTTACTTATGAAAAGGACATTTAAAGGTGATCAATTTGATGAGATTTCTATTAAAACTTAAAGCTAGAACTTTTCCCACAAGCCCTAAACAGAAAAAATGTTTTTAACTTATGCTTCCTCCTTAGCCATCCTAAATTTATTAAGTTCAAGTCCTGGCTGCTGTGCTTCCAATTCAGTGGAAGATGGTTACTCAGGTACCTTAGCAGGACGGTGGGTCAAAAGCAGAACTGCTGGGACTTCAACCAGCACTCAAAAATATAGGATGCTGGTATCACAGGTGACAGCTTAATTCACTGATCACAGCACCAGGCTCAACATATGTTGATATATGGGGAATGGCTTAAAGAGAATACTGTTGGTCCCAGTGTAATGGCTCAGTGGCTAAGTCATCGCCTTGCAACTGCTGGGATCCCATGTGGGCACTGATTTGTGTCCTGGCTGCTCCACTGCCCATCCAGCTCCCTGCTTGTGGCCTGGGAAAATAGTGGTGGATGGCCCAAGTCCTTAGGACTCTGCACCTGAGTGGGAGACCCGGAGAAGGCTCCTGGCTCCTGGCTTCAGATCAGCTCAGCTCCGGCCATTGTAGCCAGTTGAGGAGTGAATCAGCAGACAGAGGATCTTTGTCTCTCCTTCTCTCTGTACATCTGCCTTTCCAATGAATGAATGGATAGCTAGCTAGCTAGAATGCCATTGCCAGGTTACCTTTTAGTTATTAAAAAATTATTGGGCTAATTACATATTGAGTATATATCTCTATCTATCTATCTATCTATTAGGTAAGCATATAAATTTCATTTCAATTAAACTGTGAAAGATCACATTTGATTAAAATTCTCCAAATCCTAGCAAATTATGAGTGGTACTAAATAACTTAGGTACCAGTTTGAGAAGCGCAAAATTTCTGATCTTGAAGAAGATTCCAATAAGTAAATGCTTTTGACTTAATGTGTCAAATTCATACACATCTTCCTAAATTCAATTAAAATTTACAAAGTACTGTCATATCTGAAATGTTTCATGGTTTCTAGTACCAGTTTTAGGTGCTATAGGTTTACTAAATTCCCATTTATGACAAAGGAACCAAAAACAGGGGTATTGATCTTCCCTATCTCTTGCCTTACTGCAGGTTAATGGAGCTTACACATGCCCATGGGATTTTATGATTCCCTTAAACTTTATTATTCTTCTTAAAAACTTGAGAGACAGAGAAACACAGACACAGAAAGAAATCTCCCATTTACTGGTTTGCTCTCCAAATGTCTGCAACAGTAGATGGTGAGCCAGTTCCAAGCCAGCAGCCAAGAACTCTAGTCAAGTCTGCCATTTGGGATGCAGGGACTCAACCACTCCAGTTATTACTTGCTGCATTCCAGGATGTGCATCAGCAGGAAGCCGGAATCAGAGCAGAGATCTGAACCCAAGCACTCCAATATGGAATGAAACGTGTCCCAAATGGAGTTGTAACTGTCAGGACATGGGCTTGCTCTGATGAACCTGATAAGGCACCTTGCATGAATCAGAAGTACACCACACAGGTTGTATTGCTGTGCACGTGATGGCACAGCTTATTTTTCATCCAGAACAGTGCAGCAATATGTGTGTGCCTAGACACTGCTGCTTGGTACCATTGTGGAGGATAAAACACATGGAGAAGAAATCTATCTCAAGAGAATTGAGTCCCTTTTGTATTGCCTATGGCAACAGTTGCTGGAAATTTGAATTTATATCCTTTAAACTCTGAGTATTTTGATGTAAAAGGTAACAGAATCAGAATGATTGCAACTGCTCTGTTTGACATCATTATTGCCATAACTTAATAAGTCATTAACTGCCTTTTGTGAAATCGCTGGAATGAGCATCATTTGAAAGCAAATTACACAGATAAGAATCCTCTGGAATTTCATATTTTGAATCTATACATCAAAACAAATGCTGGGTTTGTCTGTTTGTTTACGGTGCAGCAGTTCACATCTTTCTTGAGAAACTCACATCTCATACTGGAGTGCTTAAATTCAAGTTCCAGCCCTCTCCATTGGTAGGTCTTAATTACTGTTGTGTGGCTGCACGGAGCAATGAAGCTAGGAGCTCCTTGTCCCTACTTATACCGTATTGGTGTGAAACAAAAGAAGTCAGTTTCTCAACTGCACTAGGTCCACCTCAGGTGCTCAGGG